AGGGGGATAATCTCATCAGTTTGCTCCTTATGGCAGCCCAACCCATTTGTAGCTGCCGGAAGAAAAAGCCCCTTACAGCTGGAACAACTCTCTTTCTCTCTCTAAGCGACTTTCTCTTTCTCTACGTGCGGCAGCAAATTTCCAACGGCAATTTCGTCGTCGTCCGGCGTCCGTTTCAGGCCAAAGTTTCGTATCGACGTCCTCTATCTAACCCACTCATTTTCCTAGCTCAAAAACCCAAGGAAGTTAAACTGGAATGACTGGAAGTTCCAGTAATTTTTAAAGTTTCCGAAGCCATTTTCGGCGACTCCAGCCGCCATTTTCGTCGAGTGAGGTATCAAACTTCATCCCCTCATCATGCTCTACCTATTTATGTACTTAGTTTGGATTGATTTTGAGGTTTTACATATTGATTCTTAAACCCATATTTGGCCAATGGTTTTGGCTTCGATTCAGCCACTTTCGGTCCATTTTTGGCCATGGTCCAAGAACAAGAGTTGATCCCCTAGATAGTCTGATTCTAATGGTATATGTATTGTAGGATGTTTAAAGAAATTTCCGTCGTCGTAAATTAAGACACTCCCCACTTCATCCTGAGCATGACGGTATGTTCAAATTTGGAATTAGTTACCGTTTGACTTAGGGCTCGTCAATGGGCCGGACTGGGTCGGGCTTTAAAGAGGAGAGAGAAAATACCGGGCCGGGCTGCTTTTTTTAGAAAATTTAAAGCCCAAGCCCGACCCATGGGCCGAGCTTGAGAAAGCCCATCGGGCCAGGCTGAAACGAGCCTACTTCAATCGAAAAAAATCATAAAGTTAATCATAAGGGCAAGTTAGTCATAAAACACCCAATAAAGTCACACAACTTAATAAGATTTTCCACAAAAATAATAAAATCAAGTATTATTTTTTAGGTTATTACATAATTAGACCGTAATAGGTTTTAAGAAATAATTTTAAAAAATAATAAGTATCAAAAAAATATTTTTTTTAAAGGATGGTATGAATAAATATGCAAATGTTTGGTGATGTGTTCAAGAAAAGCATAATTATATTTGGTGGTATGATTATGTTTCATGATATGATTATATTTGGTGATATGATATGTTGTTCATCTTATATATATAATTGTTGTATTAAGAATTGACATAAATTAATGTGCTAATCATCCAATTATAATCGGGTGGGCCTATGGGCCAAGCTGGGCTTCAGACACACAAGCCCAAGCCTAGCCCAGCCCAAGGTGGGCTGGGCCATCTCAAAGCCCATAACGGGCTGGACCGGGCTTTTTTTCAATGGGTCAGGCGGGCCCCCATCGGCCCATGAGCCTACGAGCCAAATGATGAGGCCTATTCTCTCATGTGCTTTTATAAAAACATATTTTCCCATCTTTCCTCTCTAGGGCTTTTAGTCTTGCAAAAGGTAAGGAGGAAGAGAGAGAGAGCATCAAGGGAAGTGTTGCTAGCACCACGAGCTTCCCTTGTGTCTCATCATCCTCTTAAAGAAGAGCTTGGTGGGGAGACATTGAAGGTTGCTTCTTTGCAACTTTGAAGGAGAAGGAGAAAGTGAATCCAACCACCAATCCTTGGTGGAATACTTGAGTAGGGATCAAGTGGGCTTCAAAGGTGAGTTCCTCTTCATCTTTCTCTCTTTAGTTTCTTGAAAATGTTTTGAAATGCACATCAAGCACTTGAACCTTAAGATCCTTTGAAAGGTTTTATTTTTAGGCTCTAGGATTTTCTTTAAAGCCTTCCGTTGCCTGTCAAATGAATTTTTTTATATTTAGATGCTTAAATGAACCTATGGTTTTTAGAAAAACTCAATCTTTCCTTCATTATTTATAGGTGCATTTTTTTCCTGACTTTGTAGTGCAATTTTTGTTTTATTTGCAGTTTCTATTTTTATTTGCATTGTTGATATCTACATTGTTTTGTTATAGAGTAGGAGCTTATTTAAGTTTTTGTTTTTTGTTAAAGTTTTTGTTTTTATTTGCAATTTGTGTTTTTGTTTACTTCATTGATATCACTTGAATTTCATAGTGTTTTATCGTAGTTTCTATTAGCTATATGAAGATGTTTTTGCTCTTGTAATTATATTTGGTTGCTTTTGGCTTTTAGTTTTGTTTTGAATTTAGGGAGTGGTTCTGGTTATGTTTGTTATAAGTTAATTATCAATTATTGTTTCAGAGGTGGTTTTTGGAGTGTTTGGCTCAAATTTTACAATGTAGTTTCTGTTTTATGTACATTTGTGTAGGGATGTTTTGGATTTTAGTATGAATGTCTGAAATATATGGAATTTATACAAGTTTATTAGCAATTGATGTCATTTGATTGTTTTAGTACCTTCATCATGCTTTTGCCTTTTGGTTCCTCACTTATTAATAGATGCACTTTTGCCTAGACTTTGCAGTGCAGTTTCTGTTTCTATAGAATCGATTTTTGTTTTTGTTTTTATTTACATCATTGATATCTACATTTTTTTGTTATAGAGTAGTAGTTTATTGTAGTTTTTGTCTTTGGTTCCTCGCTTATTAATATGTACAGCTTTGACAAGATTTTGTAGAGCAATTTATGTCTTTATAGAGTTGGTTTTTGTTTTTGTTTTTCTTTACATCATTGATATCTACATTATTTTGTTATAAAGTAGTATTTTATTACATTTATTTTTATTTTGTTGCAGTTTATGTCTGTATTGCATTTTCTGTTTTGTGTGCAGTTTTTGTTTTTTTTACTTAATTGATATCTACATTATCTTGTTATAAAGCAGTAGTTTATTGCTGTTTTTTTAATTGCAGTTTATACTTTTGTTTTGCATGTCTATTTTTTTTGTTTACTTCATTGAATAAACTCTTTTTTTTTCCATTCTTTTTCTTACTTTGAACCTTGTTTTGTTAGAGAGTATTAGTGCCCGTTTGGCATATTGCTTATTTGGGGTAATAAGTGATTTTTTTAAAACTTTGGGAAGCCCAGCATGTTTGGTAAATCATGAGAAAATCACTTATTGTTAAAAATTGCTGTGAGAGAAAGCTATAAGGGAAAGCAACTAATGAGGTGTTTTCATTTTCTGATTATGCTGGAATCAATTTTGAAGAGGCGTTGGGTTTAATGATTATATGGGAATCATTTTCTAATTATGTGGGAATCATTTTCTAATTATGTGGGAATCAATACCAACAACATTTTTAACAAAAATTTTACCAAACGCCAAACTACTTTCTCTCACAGCTGATTTCTCTCAGAGCCCTAAACCCCAATGCCAACCACCCACCTTACGCCACCATCTGCTACTCCTCTGCAACTTGAATACAAAGAAAACCCACCACCCAGCAAGCAAAAGAACCTAGAGCCGGGATTTATCCCCAAAAAAGGGACAAGAAATAGAAACTGATTTCAAAAAATTTTATTCTACTCATCGTATTTCCTAGGAAAATCAATTTAGCAAAAATGCATGCTAAAGCCCCATTCCCATGCCCACCCTTTCGCCCATATTCCAACAACACCAAAACCCTGACCTAACCCAGATTTTGACTTAATTTCAGCCCGAGCTCCAACCCGAGTTTTGGTGCTGACGTCACGACAACGTCAGCCCTAGCGTTCAAATTTTTTTAACGTTGGCGGGTGAACGCACCTCTACAATGCCACCAACGGCTCTTTGCCACGTGTCGCGTTCTGGGCTCTCCGATTAGAATTTTTCCTCCAATCCAATGGCAGCCAATTTTTGTGTAATAAAAAAATGAAAAAAAATCGAATTTAAAAAAAATAATAAAAACCCAAAAATTCTCAATTTTTTTTTTCTATAAATACCTACCAAAACTCTTCACTTTCAACACCAAATCCTCATACATTTTCTTCTACTTCTACTTATACTATTATTCACTTTTTACTCAACATTTTATTCACTTCCAAATTGTATTTTTATTTACCATCACTTCCAAATGATGAAAACCATTAAGTTAGTTTGCTTGCCTTTTATTTCATTGTATTTTAATGTTTTGTTTTCAAAAGTAGTTGTAATTCATGTATTTTATTTCATTAGTAGTATTGGTTTTATTTGAGTGAATAAAGAAAGCATTCAATAAAATACCTTTTTATTCAAGACATTCGATACATAAAAAACAAACCACATCCAAAGCATTAAAAATAAACAAACCACAACCAAAGCATTAAAAAAACAAAGCATAACTAAAAATAAAACATAAACATAATAAATATAAATAAACTTCTTCCCTTCACTTCATTCGCCGTCATTGCCTTTCACCGCCCATAAATGCTCCATCAAGTCAACTTGACGTCGTTCATGAATATAAGATGAATACATCTCCATATATCAATCAATCATATGGGCCATTACACGACCGTCCCTAAGCAACAATTCATGCTGCATTGGTTCTCCATTTGGCCCCATGAGTTTTTCATAAATTCTTGTCAAGGCCGTGTTCATTGGATCTGGTTTGTACACGTCTGAAGATTCATAATCATACTCATCCTCCACAATCATGTTATGGAGGATGATGCATGTCATCATTATGCTCCTCAGCACCTCCTCATCAAACAAATGTGCCGCACCCCTAATAATAGCCCAACAGGCTTGGAGGATACCAAAGCACCTCTTCACATCTTTTCTATAACCCTCTTGATAGGTAGAAAAAAAATTTTGCTTCTGCGATCGGGGATACGGAATTGATTTCACAAATGTGTTCCAACTCGGGTAGATGTCGTCAGCTAGATAATACCCATTCTGGAACACAGTATTGTTGATTTCATAGGTGACATTCGGGGCTTCACCTCTCAAAACATCGTTGAACACTGGGAATTGACCCAAGACGTTCAAGTCGTTTTGAGATCCGACAACTCCGATGAAAGCATGCCAAACTCATGTATCAAATCCAGCAACGGCTTCAAGGATGATACTTTTTTGCCCTTTCCGATTCCCATAATCTCCTTGCCAAGCAATTGGGCAATTCTTCCACTGCCAGTGCATGCAGTCGATGCTACCAACCATTCATGGAAATCCTCGAGCTTCGGCTTTTTGTAGAAGCCGTTGCAGGTCCCTGGGCGTAGGTCTGCGCAGGTAGTCCCTGGTGTACAGAGTTTCGACTGCATCACAAAACCTCACCAAGCTCTTCAAAGTAGTGGACTTCCCCATCCGGGCAATCTCATACACCTGATCAGCAGATGACCCATACGCCAACATTCGTATAACGGCTGTGAACTTATGCTCAGGAAGAAGTCCCAAATTTCCGACACAATTTTTCTTTTGAACAAAGTATTCATCATAATTGCAAATATCATGCATGACTTTATTGAACAAATGGGGTTGCATTCTATACCGCGCTCGAAAATGACCATCAGAGTACAGAGAAGTTGGGATAAAATAATCTTCCAGAAGATTCTTACCCCGAGAATATGTCTGTTAACATTCGGGCCACGGCCTTCCCGTGAACCACAGCGGCTCTGGTTTTCTTCATCAAGCAAAGCCACTGCTGTGACAATTTGCGGATTTAGTTCTCTTTGCGCCCTTTTGCCTGCAGCTCGTCTACACCTTCTTTCTCTAGTTTCTCGCTCTTGCCTCTCCAAGACCTCATTCATGTCTGCCATTGAGAATGGAGTATGAATTCTAACATCTGTCTGCTGCGCAAATCTCACGGCCTGGGGTTCCGGGCCGAGGGGATGTGCGTTGACACGTGGCTTCCTGCTTTTGGATGCAGTGCGGTTGTGCGCGGGCGTGCTAGCACGGTCTACCGTGCGTCGAGATGTTGATGTGGATAGAATGGTCAAGTGGTGCGCCTGTTTGAACTCGTCTTCTAATCAAACGATTGTAGCCGAGAGAGGAATTGATCTCAGCTGTTAGGTTCACGACCTGAGCTACAAGGCCGTTTAGGGGTGGTGAAAATGGTGGGTTTTGGGCGGTGCTCCGGCGCGCTGCTCAGTGAGCGACGGTCGTATGATATATGGGGTGAATGAATGAGTAACAGAGATGATGCTCCGGCGCCTTGAAAATCAAGGGTCGTATGATATATTGATGAATGGATTTTCCTTACAAATTAACACTACTCCTAGGAAAGCAAGTAAAGATATTGAAAGTGCATTACAGAAAAATATAATTTGCTCCGTGGGAGGCTTTTGTTTGGTGTTTGAACCCTGTGAATGTAGCTTGAGCCTTGTATTTATAGGAAGAGTTCTTGGAGGAGTAATCGAGGCTAAAAATTTGCATGGTGGAGCCTGATTAGAGCAAATGGGTAGTCCAATCGACATTTGGGATTGTGAAGCATGGTGGTGTGACCCCATAAATCCCGGTGAATCTCGGCCGCCGCCCTAATCGTGGGTTCTGCGCTTCTGGCCGTGGAGACGCATTTATTGTTCTGATAGTTGGTGACCCAATCTCTCAAACTGCAAGAATTCTTGTGAGAATGTTTGCGTCTAATCACTCTGATTCCTATCACCAAATCCTGACTTGACTTCAGTCACTTCCCACCTTCCCTCGTGCATTAAATGCTTATTCGTGGCCAGTGGGTTTGCTACAATAAACAGAGGCGTTGCTTCATTAAATGAAGCGTGGGACCCTGCTGCCACTTGATGATCTGACGTTAGTACCTTTGGCCGTGATTTTGTTCGACTTCGGCCTCGGCCTATAATCAAGGCCGAGATGATCATGCCCTCGCAATTTTCCCTTTGCTTTTTTAGGAAGGCCAAACATCTTGGCGAAACGCCGCGCTTTAGTTTTACGAGCAAGTGTTAGGGCCGAGAAAAAGGGGCCCCTTCGGTCAGTTCATGGCCGTGATTTATTAGGCACAAATATTGCCCCCACATCCCCGGATTCTTCGGTCTTGGCATGGGTAGGGGCCGAATGGATTCCAGGGGATGGACCCTTTGCATTCCTTCGGAAGTGATTGACAACTGGTGCATTAAATACGCAGGACAGTCGGCGCATTTAATGCCCAAGCACGTCGTGCAGGCCATCATTGCCCAGGCTAACGCGAGGTGTCGCCTCGCCTCGTCAAATGAAACGACGGTCTCTGGGCTTCCGACACGTCATCTTGCTCTCGATTCGTGCGAGACATCATTTTGCCTCGCCAACCAAAACGTCGGCCCCCAGGTCTCAAACACACCCTCGCGTGCCCCAAATGTGTTGTCAGGCCGTTTCGTCTTTCGAGGATCACACCTCCTGCTTTGAATTCCAAGGCTAGTATAAAAACCCTGCCTTCCTTCATTTTTCTTTCACGCCTCCTGCTCTGAAGCTCTCCTCCTGCTTAGTGAACCCTGGGCCTTGCTCCTCCTTTACTCCTTCTCCCCTTCATTTTAACCTGCTCCAATGACCCCCATTGTAGCCCTTCCAAAAACCGGGGAGGCAAATCCGCTGAACCTCACGACTTGGCCGTTTGGCCATAATTAGATGGCTCTTCCTCCCCTGCTGTCCACCGACTGTCATTCGCCTTGGAAAGTCGACGTGAGCCAAAACCAAAACGTGGCTGAGATTCCTTCCCAGCCCTGGAGGAAGATGACCTTCCTCCCTATGAGGCCGAGGAGAAATTGCAATGCAATTGATGAAGATGGGAGGGTCTGGTACGATGATTCCAACGTGGCCATGGCCGTGTTCATTCGGCTGGGCGCCCGGGTTGCACCCATGTCCAGAGTGACGCCCCTTACCCCGGCCGGAATGACGGCCTTGGGTTCGCCTGGTCGCACTCGTGTCCAGAGTGCCGCCCCTTCCCTTGGGCGGAATGACGGCCCTGGGTTCCCCTAGTCATACCCGTGTCCGGAGTGCCACCCCTAGTCTCAGGAAGAAACATCTGTCTATCCAGCGAGGGGACCACGAAGCTGATGTTCGTAGATTTTAGGATGCAATCTTTCTTTATGTATATCTATATGTTGTAATCGGCCATGACCTGGCCGCTCCTTTGTCAACGTGACCCCCTTTTAAATAAATGAAGTATGATTCCACTTTCCTTTTTTCTGAAAGCATGCCTTGTCTTTTATCTTCGTTGTGTTGTTTACTTCCAGTCGTAAAAACCTCATAATCCATTCTCGGCCGTCTCCCATAATGACGGGGTATACTTCTTTAAATACTGGCTGTTTATTGGTAGGTTGTGCCATTCTCCATCCCTATCCCTTAATTGGAATGCGCCTCGGCCAAGGATTCGTTCGATAACAAACGGCTCCTCCCAATTAGGTGAGAATTTGCCGAACCGAGGGTCCTTAGTCCTGATAGGAAGCACGGCTCGCCATACCAAGTCGCCTTCGGTGAAAGTCTTTTGCTTGACCTTTCTGTTATAGGCCCTTGCCGCGATTTGCTTATGCGCCTGCATTAGGTTATAAGCATCGAGTCTGGACTGCTCCAAGTCTTCTGACTCCTGAGCCATAGCTTGCGCGTAGTCCTTCCTTTCCTTACCAGGCTGCTCGGCCACGCGGAGAGACCGAACCTTTCACTCCATCGGAACGATGGCATCATTATCGTAGGTTAAGGCATAAGGAGATGTGCCCGTGGCCGATCGTTTCGTGACTCGATAAGCCCAAAGGGCTTCAGGGAGTAAGTCGTGCCATGCCCTTGGTTTTTCCTCAATCATCTTCTCAAGGATGCCCTTGATTACCTTGTTGCTCGCCTCGGCCTGTCCGTTAGACTGGGGGTAGTAAGGTGTTGAGTGAACTAATTTGATCCCTATTTTTTCGGTGTACTCTCGGGTTTCGGCCGATGTGAAAACTGGGCCGTTGTCGGCCGTGATAGTTTCAGGTATACCGAACTTGTGGACGATGTGTTTCTCGAAGAATTTCACCACATGTGCGCTAGAAATCGACCGATAGGACTCCGCCTCAACCCATTTAGTAAAATAGTCAGTTGCCACCAAAATCCATGCATGTTGGTTGGACGCGGCCGGATAGATTTTGCCGATGATATCCACGACCCAACACCTGAACGGCCATGGTTTGGTAACCGGGTGGAGGGCTTCGGCCGGTACCCTTTGTATGGGGCCGTAGATCTGGCATTTGATACACCCCTTCGCATACTCTATGCAATCTTTTAAGATGGTCGGCCAGTAATAGCCGTGCCTTCGAACCAACCACCTCATTTTGACGCCAGACTGGTGAGCGCCGAAAATCCCCCCGTGGGATTCGGTCATGATAACCTTTATGTCTCCGGCGCTGGGACATAGGAGCAATAAGCCGTCCGATCCCTTTCGATACAGCTTATTTTGATAAATCAAATAACACCGAGCCTGGAAACGCGTGGTCCTCTCATGGCTGCCGGAGGGGTCGCGCAGATACTTTACTATGGGGTAGTGCCAATCGGCCTCGGCCGTGTTGACTTCGTCGATGACCTCGGCCGATGATACTTGCGTTGTCATTCCTCGTTCAGCCAAAGCTGGCAAGGTATGCCTCTCGACTCTTATCACACGATCGTGGTCATCGTCCGGAATATTCACGCCTGACGCCACCTGGGCCATCTCATTGGCCTCATGGTTCTCGGCGCGCGGTACGTAGACAAAGGAAATCCTAGAAAATTCGTCGGCCGCATTGAGGGCCGTCACATAATACATAGTTAAATTTTCGCTCGTGCACTGGTATTCCCCGGTCAATTGGTTAATCACCAGCTGAGAATCACCGTAGACCAAGACACGGGTTGCCTTCATTTCTCTCAGAATCTCGAGACCGATGATGAGTGCCTCGTATTCGGCCTAATTGTTGGTGCATTTGAAATCGAGCTGGAATGCAAATTACCACCTTTGTCCTTGAGGGGATTTGATCACGACTCCGGCTCCGGACCTGGCCTCGGTATTGGAGCCGTCGAAGTACATGGTCCAGTAGTTCTTTTCCATGCGGGCCATGCCGATCTCGACCTCCAACTCCTCTTCCTGCCCCTGAGCTGGGTGGTGAGCCAAAAAATCGGCCAATGCCTGACCCTTGACCGACTTCTGGGCCACATACTGGAAGGTGAATTCGGACAATGCCATCGTCCACTTCCCAATTCGGCCGAGTGAGCATATATTTGATGAGATCGGTCTTGGAGATGATCTGAACGACCAAGTGTACGGCTCAGGTAGTGCACTGCTTGCTCTCGTTCTGACTCGTTGTTTTGAGCCAGCAGACAGCCGATAGAGCTCTCCGAAGCCGAAGTGTAAAGTCTCAAGGGTTTCCCTCTTTTTGGCGGCATAAGGACAGGTGGTTGAGATAAATATTTCTTAATATCGTCGAGGGGCGCTTGATGTTCTGCTCCCCATACGAACCGATCCGTGTCTTTCAGTTTGAGCAGGGGGGTCAACGGCTGGATTTTCCCTGCCAAATTGGATATGAACCGCCTTAAAAAGTTGACCTTACCGAGGAAGGACTGGAGCTCCTTCTTGGTCCTTGGCGGAGGGGCTGCCATAATGGCCATAACTTTATTTTTATCTACCTCGATTCCTCATTGGTGAACTAAGAAACAGGAAATTCCCGGTGGTGACGCCGAAAGCACACTTCTTCGGGTTCATCTTTTGGCCGTGCACTCGCATTCGGTTGAAAGCCTGTCGGAGATGTCCTACATGGTTGGCTTTGGATGGGGACTTTACGACCACGTCGTCGATGTATACTTCAACGGTTCGGCCTATAAGGTCGTGGAAAATAAG